CGACGGGACCCGGCAGTGACACACGCCAGCCACAAGGCCCAGTGTCCCTTACACACACCAAGACTCATCATCATCCCCCGTGTTAGGCGCTTTGTAACCTCACCCCTGTGACCTGTTCCCCTGGGCTCTGCACCCAGAAGAACATTTCTGCCTTTTTTTTTTCTTTTTCAACATATGCTGGTAGCAGTGCTGGGGTTGATGCAAGCAGCCCCCAGAAGGACATTTCTGCCTGCTGACACTGCAGTCCATGAACTCAAAGATGGACTTGTCGCCTTCAACTTCCCTGTGGCCCCTGCACATGGAGGAGTAGTTGTTGTTGTTGTTGGTCTTTCTTTTCTTTTTGTTTTTGGAACAAGACCCTATAGCCCTACTAGGAGGGGTGGTTCGGGAAGCGCCCCTTAAACCACCAGTACCTCTCCGTTGTTTTTTAGAAGTCGCGGCCGTTAACGCGCCGCAACTTTCGGGGGTCGGCCAACCCAACACCCAGTCGCTTCACGAACGGAAAAAAAAAAAAAAAAAAAAAAGAAAGCGAAACAAAACGAAACAAAACAAAACAAACAAACAAACTAGGCAAAGCCCGAATCTCTCCGTGAATGTGTGTGTGTGTGTGTGTGTGTGTGTCTGAGAGAGAGAGAGAGAGAGAGAGAGAGAGAGGGAGAGAGAGAGAGAGAGATAAAAGAGGTAAGACGACAACACCAGGAGAAAACATGCAGCCGAGGATAAGAACGACAACGATATCATTACACTCAAAAGCTCAGCACAGCGCCACAACAAGACCAGTAGGATTCAGCAATAAAGTTCCAGTACATGCGTCGCCCCGACGCGTTTCGTCGCCAGCGTGATACGGCGATCTCATCAGGGGGCTTTCTCACAACGACTACCAACTAGTCCTGGCAACGTAAAGTGATGCGATAGACCCGTTCCTCGAACCCTTAAATACTGCGTACTTCAAAGCTCGTAACCCGAACCTGCTCATCCACTACACTATCCCAGAACTACTTAGTCACCACACACTCTACTCCTAAGTGATCTGCTCCTTCTGTGCCTACTAATCTCCTCCAGAAAATTGTGCAAACCTCTGGCCCTTCCGGAACATCTAAAGTTCTCACTAACTATAGTACAAAAACTCTGCCCTTCCCTTAATCATCATCCTCTGTAACCTCAATCTCAAAACTAGTAAACAGCAAAACCCTAAAATATGCTCAATCTCAAAACTAGTAAACAACAAAATCCTAAAATATGCTCTGTTGAGCTCTGGCGCTGCACTAAAAGACTAGGAAGACCAACAACTATTACTAAATCAGACCTTACCCAGCGTCGGTTTCGAAAATTCAAACGAA